GCCGACTAAGGCGGTGATTCTCTTGGCGGCCGGTGTCTTGGCGAGGTTATTCGGGCGATTTGTTGGGCGCCTGGTTTAGGGGCTGAGGAATGAGATGATTACCTTTGTACAATTCTTGAGTGTTTCTTGTGGCTCTTTTGAGATTTTTCTTTTGGAAGCTTGTCGGAATTTTTTTCTTGTTCGGGTTGGCGGCTCTTTCTGGAGTTTTGTTGATTCGTGAGGTGATGTCCTATAAGTCTCATTACGAGTTCGGGTTTTGGCTTTTCATCGTTAGGGAGATTGCAATATTTGTAACTTTGTTCGTGATGTGTTTGTGGAGAATGGATGGAGCGACGGAGCCGATTTCGAGGGTGATGGAACTTCCTCTGTTGGGCTCTTTTTTGTTGATAGGTTCTTCGGTTACTGCTACGACATATCATCATTGCCGGGGTTTGGAGTTTAGTTGAGTGTTTTTGCTTGTGACGATTCTCCTTGGTTTGAGGTTTGTGGTGTTACAGATTCTTGAGTTCTATGAGTGTGAGTGTGATGTGCTTAGGGATGTTTACTACGCTGGTGCGTTTTGTACGGTTGGTTTACACTTCAGACATGTTTTTGTGGGGGTGGTTGGATTGTTGACTCTGATAACATTGGGTGCGAAAGTTGTTAAGCAGTGCTATGTTAAAGTTGTGGTTTGGTACTGGCACTTTGTGGATTACGTTTGGTTGTTTGTGTTTCTCCTGCTTTACCTTTTGTAAGCTTCCTCCTTAGGTTAATCTAAACTATCGATTTGTGGGGTCGGAGATCTGGTTTGAGAGGGGGAAGAGATGTTATCTGTTTTGCGTCATAAAGTAGTGGATTTGCCTACGAATCTGTCATTGAATTATTTTTGGTGCGGGGGTTTTATGATCAGGAGGTTTTTAGCCTTGCAGCTTATTTCTGGGGTGGTTCTTTCTTTACTTTATGTTGCTGACTCTGAGATGAGATTTGGGTGTGTGTTGGATTTTACGAAAGAGAGGTTGTTTGTGTGGCTAGTTCGCTATCTTCACGTTTGGGGGGTTACATTTATCTTTGTCCTGTTTTTTGTGCACATGGGGCGAGCGCTGTACTATTCGAGGTATAGAAAGGTGGCCGTTTGGAATGTTGGTTTTGTTCTGTATCTTTTGATGATGATCGAGGCGTTTTTGGGCTACATTCTGCCTTGACATCAGATGTCTTACTGGGCTGCGACGGTTTTGACGTCTATCCTGAATAGTATTCCCATTGTGGGGTCGAGCCTTTACACTTTCATTGTGGGGGGTTTTGGGGTAACGAATGCTACGCTGGTTCGTGTGTTTTCTGCGCATGTTTGTTTAGCGTTCGTTATCGTTGGTTTTAGGGTTATTCACCTTTTCTATCTTCACAAGGGGGGTTCCAATAAACCACTGTTTATCTCTGGCGGTTACAGAGATGTTGTGTTGTTTCACAGGTTTTTTACGAATAAGGATGGTTTGTTGCTGTTATTCTTGCTTGGATTATTAAGTGGGTTGATGTGGGTCTGTCCAGACATGGTGTTGGATGTTGAGAGATACCTTCAAGCGGATCCTTTGGTTACTCCCGTCTCGATAAAGCCGGAGTGGTACTTTTTGGCGTTTTACGCGATGCTTCGTTCTATTGAATCGAAGGTGGGAGGCCTAGTGCTAGTGTTGGTTTTTCTCTTTATCCTGTGATTACCTAGTTTCAAAGGGTCGTGTTGCTATTTTTTAGGCCGTCAGTATGTCTTTTGAGGGTTGTCTGCCATGTTTTCTTTACTCAGGTATCTGGGGGCTTGTCACCCGGAGGATCCTTACATTTTGGTTAGTAAGCTTTGTGGTTTGCTCATTGTAGTTTTCTTGTTTCTGTTTAAGGGATTGTGGGTGGTACCACACTCTTATGGTGTTCCCCTTGGTGGGGAGTTCGCGCACTAGGTTTGGGGGTTAGGATGGGAGTCTTGTTGGTAGGAAGTTTTGTGGTGCTGTGCGGATTTGTCTTGTCCCTCTCACGTTTTTTAAATTGTTTGATAGTTGTTGAGAATTTTAATGTCCTTTTGCTTTTCTCGGCGATGTATCAGCAGTGGAGAGAGAGCCATGTTTTGTTCATTGCCTTGATGGTGATTTTCACTGTTGAGGTGGTTCTAGGTTTAGTGGTACTTACTCGGTTGTGAGATTTGGGACGTTTGATCGGATTGGTTGGTTGATAGGTTTTGGGGTTTCTAGTGTGATTCTGTTTGTTCTTAAGGGTTTATGTATCTCTCTACCGAGATGTTTGTGGATGACTGAGAGGTTTTGTTTTGATGTCTCGAGACTTTACCTCAGTGGCTTATCGTTGGTGTTGTGCCTGTCTCTGGTTTTTTGGCAGAGGTGTTTTAGTGGAGTGGGGCTGTTTATGATTTTTTTAAGGTTGTGTTGTTCGATTTTTAGGTACTGCTGCGCGCACTCCTTGGGGTTTTGGGTCTTTTATGAGGGTGCAATATTGCCGCTGCTGTTTTTGTTAGTTCGGGAGTCGCCTTATTCGGAGCGTTATGTAGCGTCTTGATATCTGCTGGGGTATGTGGTTTTGACGAGGCTTCCGATGCTTTTGTGTTTGTTTTACCTCTCTGTGGAGGCCGGTAGATTCAAACTATGCCATTGGGAGGGTGTCTCCGCCAGGGGCTTCGCGGTTGTCCTGTTGTTGTCGGTCCTATTCATAACTAAGGTTCCGTTGCCGCCGTTTCATGTTTGATTACCTATCGTTCATGCTGAGGCGAGAAGGCCTGTGTCTGTGTGTTTGAGGGGTTATGTGATGAAGCTTGGGTTATTAGGGGTTTACCGATTTTGTTCCTGGTTGTTACCGAGGCATATTTTCTCTGTTGTTTACCTAAGGGTTGGTATGGTGCTCGCGCTTCTGTTCTTTTTTAGGGCTTCTCGGGAGTTGGATGGGAAGCGTTGGTTGGCATTCATGAGACTGGCACATATCTTGGTGCCTGCTGTGTGTTTCTGTGTGAGGGGGTTTAATGGGTTGGGCCTTTCATTTTTGTACTGTGTGGGACATGGTGTCTCCGCTGGGGTGACGTTCCTTTTCTTGTGATTGGCTTATGAGGTGTCAGGTAGTCGTAACTGGGCTGTGTTGAAGTTTAGGCTTTCTGGAAGGTTGCTGATGCGCTTTTTGGCGGGGTCTTGCCTTTGTACTGTAGCTTCTTTACCACCCACGGTGCAGTTTTTCTGTGAAGTTCATACGTTGTGGGAAGCGGGACCTGTTGCGGTTAGGTTTGTTCTTGGTCTTTTTTGCTATCTGTTTTGTGGAGGCTTAATACCGATTTTTGTGTTAAGCGGGTTGTTAACCCGACATTACAGTGTTAGTTTTGGAAGTGGATATGCTTTCAGGGGGCTGTCCTCCATGTTGTTTCTCTTGTTGTGGAGTTTTATCTTGTTCTTGGTCGGGTAAGGAGGATGTACAGTTTGGTGTTTGTCGGCACGTTATGTTTTGGTCATAAGGGGAATTAGATGTTAGCTGTAGAGGGTCTTTCACCTAGCTTACGTTATAAAGCATCAGTTTGAAGAGCTGAGGAAATGCGATGTTGACATGGGGAAGGGCCGGTGGGGAGATAAGTTAGGTTGTAAACTGCATGACTCATATTCATGTAACACGGTTCTCGTTTTCCCCTATGCGTGTGACTCGGTTTAAAGGTGTTAAAGGCTTTCTTGGGGGCTTAACAATAGGGGGGGCTAGAGATGTTGCTTATCGTGCCATGTTGTACGGTCTCTTGTTCTGTTTCTTAGGACTTCGGTTTCCGTACTTGTTTGATTTAGTGAGGTTCGGCGCGTTCTTAGTTTTTGCAATATTGCCCCTTTTCTTGGCGCTGTTTTTTTCTCGTCTTTTTGATGGTAAGCTTGTTGATTTTTTTTCTCCCTTTGTGCCCAGGGGAACTCCCGTCTGGATTGCGCCGTTTGTCTGCATGGCAGAAACTTTGAGTTACTTGGTTCGGCCCGTAGTTTTGATGATCCGTCCCTTTGTAAACTTATCCATGGGTGCTATGGGGGGTTACATCTTGGGCCTCCTCACGTTTCGGTTCAGTTGAGTGGTTTTTTTTTTGGTTTTTCTCTTTTTTTATGAGGTCTTTGTCGCGGTTGTGCATTGATTCATAGTTTGTAAAATTCTTTCTTTCTCTGAGAGTCATTAGATGGGGGGTTACTTTTTGGGGTTGGTTAGGATAGCTGGTGTGATTTTTTTCTCATCCTGTTTGTTCTTGAGAGACAGGATGAGCATGTTTTGGTTGTTTTTAGAATTGAGTGCTTTGTCATTGGTCCCTTCCTTCTTTCTTCGGTTGGGCAGTGGGGTGCTAGAGGCTTTGTTTAATTACCTGGTTGTTTCCAGAATTTCATCCTCTTTAATGATTTGTGGGTTTTTTTACGACAGTTTACTCTTTCTGTGTTTTTTGGGTTTGTCGATGAAGTTTGGAGTGTTCCCGTTCCAGGGTTGAATTTACAAGGTTTTGTTGAGATCTGGGTGGTTGGTTGTTTGAGGGTTTTCCGTCTTTTTGAAGATTCCTTTCTTATTTATCTGTTTTTTCCTAAGGAGGGGGGGTGTCCCCTTTTTAAAAGTGGCTTGTGTGTTGTCCTTTTTTTTCCTGAGGGCTTTGTTTTGGTGTTACAGGTATAGTTGGTGTCATTGTTGGTGTCATATGATGCTCTCTTCTAGGGTTGTTTTAGTGGCTATGTCTGTTGAGGGTTCCGGAGATGCCCTGTTTTATCTCTTTGTTGTCTACACCCTTTGGGGAAGGGCCGTTCTCCTCTTTTTGGGTTACCTCGAGGATTGGGGTTTGTCTGGGGTTGGTGCTTATTTTGTGTTTTTGGTGTTGCTAGTGTCCCTGCCACTGTCTGTCTCTGTTTTTTACAAGGTGTGGTTGGCGGTAAGTGTTTTTTTTTGCTATCTGCCTGTTTTTGTGGCCTGGTGTCTTTACAGTGTGTCTGAGCAGCTGTTCTTGATTAGTTATCTCGTTAAGGAGAGGGTGTCATGTGAAACTTATGGCGGTGCCTCTTTAGGCTAGTTGGCGAGATAGTTTAATGAAAATGCCTGCTTTACACGCAGGAGTTGGTTAGTACCTATCGTCAGCGATGGGACAACATAGTTTAAACTAATTGGAAAGATGGCTACTCTGCGAGTAGCTGGTGAGATAAAATCTCTGTTGTTGCTGCACGACCTTAGTTTAGCGTGTAAGGATCATAGTTTGTCGTACTATGGGTGGGTTTGTCCCAGGTCGTGGTGGTTTCGTTGTTGACTGGGGGTTATCTGTTTTTGAGGAGATTGCTTTCTTTTAGTTTGATCCTATTGTTTGTGGCATTTTTTATTCTGGGAGAGCGTAAGTTGCTGGGGTACATGCAGTTTCGGAAGGGCCCCAACAAGGTTGGTATGGCGGGGTTGTTGCAGAGATTTGCTGATCTCTTGAAGTTGGTCATAAAGTTTAAGGTTTCTTTGTTCCAGGGTCGTAGCTGGCTTTCTTGATGAGGAGTGTACATTCTGGTGTTTTTAGGTTGTTTTTACTGTGTCTTCTTTTCTCACAGGTATTCTGGCATGAAAGCGGGTAATGGGTTGCTTTGGTTGCTGGTGGTGACGAGTGTGACGGGTTATAGTCTCTTAAGTGTCGGTTGGGGCTCCTACAAAAAGTATGCACTGTTGAGTTGCTTGCGTTCTGCGTTTAGTTCTGTCACTTTTGAAGCGTGTTTCATGTGCGTTGTTCTCTTATCGGCTGTTGTTGGTGGAAGCTACTCGTTGGAACTCTATCTGAGGAGGTCTTTTCTTAAATGTCTGGTTTTGCCCCTTTGTTACACTCTCTGGTTAGTTGGAATCTTGTGTGAGTGCAATCGGACCCCTTTGGATTACGCTGAGGCTGAGAGGGAGCTTGTCAGAGGGTTGAACACGGAATACTGTAATGTGCCGTTCACCTGCCTCTTCGCGTGTGAGTACCTGATAATGTTCATCTTCTCTTGGTTAGGGGGTGTAATCTTTTGGGGCGGCGTGGCTGTACTAGCTATGTCCATTTTTCATGTTGCCTTTTTTGTCTGGTCTCGTGGCACCTTGCCGCGAATTCGTTATGACTACTTCGTTCAATTTATGTGGAAGTGGGCTGTGCTGGTTCTGGTTTTTTCTTTTTTTTTGGTGGTGGCTTAGAGATATGGTTGGGGGGGCGCTTGACCGCGTAGATTATTTTTTAAATCCTGAGGCTGTTAACTTCAAGAAGAGTTTTGGAGATTCCGCGGTCGCAACAAGGTAGTTTAAACTTAGGACGCAAATTTTGGGAATTTGAGGTCCCTCCCCCCGGGCCTGTTGAGGTTTGCTGATAGGGCTGCGTTAGCAGGTCGCTGTGATATAGCGGTTGTGAGATTTATCTTCGTCGGTATTCTAGAAGTAGCTTATTTCAAAGTTTGGGATTCTTACTCCCGGGATGTTAGGTTTTAACCTTTTAGGGTGAGTGGTTTGTTGTGTGGTGCGAGATTAGGGGCTTTGCTTTTTTTTTTGGTTTGTGGGTTTCATAGGTTTGTTTGGAATGTTGGGGTGAGGTCGAGAGTTGGTTTGCGATGTTGGGCGAGCTCCTTTGAGTGTGGTTTTGTTTCTCAGCGTGTGACGGAGAATTATTTTAGTCACACTTACTTCGTTCTGTTGGTGTTCTTTGTGGTTTTTGATCTGGAGATTTCTTTGTTGTTGAAAATGCCTTTGCAGGGTGTTTTGTACAAGAATTTTGGATTTTATGTGTTGTTCCTCTGTTTGTTGGTTAGTGGCTTTGGGGTTGAGATTTGAAAGGGTTATGCTGAGTGGAGTTATTAGTGCCTTGAAGGTTTTGGGGTTGCCGCTGCTAACGGTGATTGGGGTGTTTGTTCGTCCGGTCTTCTGTTGGAATGGGTTAGGTTAGGTTTGACTGTCTGTTTTCAAAACAGAGGGGGACTCTTTTAAGGTTGCCCGTTGTTTATGTTTACTTGGTTGTTTACTTTGGATCATAAGCGGATTGGAATGATTTACATGGCTTTAGGGATATGAGGAGGGTTTTTGGGCCTTTCTTTGAGGATGCTGATTCGTTTGAATTATCTGGATCCTTACTACAACATTGTCTCGTCGGAGGTTTACAACTATGTGTTGACGAATCACGGGGTGGCCATGATTTTCTTTTTTTTGATGCCTGTGTTGATAGGGGGGTTTGGTAATTATCTTCTTCCCCTTCTTTTAGGGATTCCTGATCTCAGGTTGCCTCGTTTGAAAGCTTTGAGGGCTTGGTTGATGCTTCCTTCTGCGGTTTGTCTCAGTTTGAGGATGTTTGGTGGTGCTGGGGTTGGTTGGACTTTTTATCCGCCTCTCTCTGGGAGAGATTATTCTGGATGAGGTGTGGATTTTTTGATGTTTTCTCTTCATTTAGCTGGTCTCTCGAGCCTTTTTGGTTCTCTGAATTTTATTTGTACCATCGTTAGGGCGTTGTGCGAACATATTGCGGGTCGTAGGTCGATAATTGTTTGGGCCTATCTTTTTACTTCTGTTCTGTTGCTTCTTTCTTTGCCTGTGCTTGCTGCTGCGATTACGATGCTTTTGTTTGATCGTAAATTTAGTTCTGCTTTTTTTGATCCGTTAGGGGGAGGTGATCCTGTTTTGTTTCAGCATTTGTTTTGGTTCTTTGGACATCCTGAGGTGTATGTCTTGATTTTGCCGGGGTTTGGAGTTGTGAGCCACATTTGCATGACTCTGACTAACAATGATTCTCTGTTTGGGTATTATGGGTTGGTGTTTGCGATGGGGGCTATTGTGTGTTTGGGGAGCGTTGTGTGGGCGCACCACATGTTTATGGTTGGTCTGGATGTTAAGACCGCTGTGTTCTTTAGTTCTGTTACCGGAGTGATTGGCATTCCTACGGGGATTAAGGTTTTTTCCTGGTTGTTTATGTTGGGTGGGGCTCGTTTACGGTTTTGGGATCCCGTTTTGTGGTGAATACTCGGGTTTATCTTTCTGTTTACGATTGGAGGTGTGACGGGTATCATTCTCTCTTCCTCTATCCTTGACAGCTTGTTGCATGATACGTGGTTTGTTGTTGCTCACTTTCATTATGTTTTGTCTTTAGGTTCTTACAGAACAGTGGTGATTTCTTTGTTGTGGTGATGGCCTGTTGTTACGGGATTTAGTTTGAACAAGTATCTGTTGCAGGGGCACTGGGTGAGATCGATGTTAGGGTTTAACCTTTGTTTTTTTCCGATGCATTATCTCGGAGCTTATGGTCTTCCGCGTCGGGTGTGTAACTATGAGCCCGCATTCCAAAGGTTGAACAAAGTTTCTTCTGTGGGGGCGTTGATTTCTGTGGTTAGTGCTTTTTTTTTGGTGTTCATCCTTTGGGAGTCTCTCGTCGTAGGGAACCGCGTTGTTGGTGTTTGGGGTACGAATGCATTGGTGGTGAATGCGTTGGTTACGCCCGTGCCGCATCATGGGGTTTACATTAGTGGACCTTCACGATGGCTTTCCTTTTAGGAAGTGTAGTTTATCGTTAGAATGCTGCTTTTGTAAAGCAGCGGTGTGATCCTGTAACTTCTTTAGTTTTGAGGCTGTGAAGAATTTTGTGTTTAGTGGGTGTCGTACCTTTTGCATCATGATTCTCTGAAGGAGTTTAATTATTTTAATGTCTCGAAAGGCAGTGATCCGATCTTGTCTCGTTTTTAGAACTTAGAGGTCGATGGGCAATCGAGGTTGAAAGATGGGTTCGGAGGTGATAAGCATTACGTACTGTCTCATAGCTAGTTGCTGGAGTTTGTCTTTGAATTATTGTTCTGTTGCTTGGATGTGATGGGACGGTCAAGAGGGCTTTTCAGGTTGATTGTGTGGCTAGGTTAGAGGTACCTTGTCTTAGCTTCGTGTTGTGACGATTGTTTCTGGTTGTGAGCTCTTTGGTGGAATGCTCCAGGCGGTGTGCTAATGGTTTGTTTCTAAGTGTGGGGTAATGAGTAGTTTAAGTGGCTTTCTTTTTTCTCGGAGGCCTCCGGTCTGTTTCTTAAAAACATTTCCATCGGGGAGTTTTGATGGTAGTGCCTGCCCGGTGTTTTAATAAATGGCCGCAGTATCTTGACTGTGCTAAGGTAGCATAATTAGTTGCCTTATAATTGAAGGATTGTTTGAATGGTTTGACCAGGGGGTGTGTCTAGATGGGGGCTGTTGCTGAAATTAGGTGGTTGGTGCAGATCCCAACGGTTCTTAATTAGACGGAAAGACCCCGAGAGCTTTAACAATTTTTGTTTACTTGGGGCAAGGGCAGATATTTCATGTGCTTTCAGATCCTTTGGGAAAGAGTTTTAGTTACCTCGGGGATAACTAGGTAAGAGGCGAGGAGAGGCCTTATCGATTCGTCTGTTTACTATCTCGATGTTGACTTAGGATTAGCATGAGGGTGTAGGAGCTCTTGTGTGGAGGTCTGTTCGACCGTGGTATCCTTCATGAGTTGAGTTAAGACCGGCGTGAGCCAGGTCGGTTCTTATCTTTTGTTGCTGTGATTTCGTACGAAAGGATCATTCATAGTTTAGGTTGGGCGAGATGTGTGTAACACGGCCCACTCTGCAAAGGTGGGTTTGATAGGATTTATCCTCGTCTTTAGTTCAATTTAATTCTGGTTGTGAAAGGGTTTGGGGTAGTGCTACATGGGTTCTGTCTGTTGTCAGAAGGGTTCGTAAGGTTTTGAGGTCTTGCCCAGTGGTTGAATCTTGATTTATTGAGGTAATTCAGATCAGGCTATCCTAAAGGGATGGAGAATTCGCAGTGCCAGCATCCGCGGTTATTCTGTTAATCTTCTCTTTCGTTTGGTTTAAATGTTTTGTGGGGTATTTAGCACTCTTTGGGTAGAATCTTTGAGTTTGGTTGAAATGTGTCTGCATTTCCTTCGGGCGCTTTTTAGGAAAAGGATTAGAGACCCTTGTACTAGGTGTAACATTTTGTGGCCATGGTGGGAACTAAAAGGATTTGGCAGCCGATGAGGTTCTTCCGGGGGAGTGTGTGGCGTAAGAGATAGTCCGCTTAGGATCTTACCATCGTTATCCGTTAGTGTATGTCCGGTTTAAGATTCGTGATTTGTGTCAAGGGGTGTCATGGTTTGATTTAATCCAGGTCAATGTGCTGCTCATGCGATGGTGCTTGTGCACTACTGTTGGAATGCTTTTTGGTGTAAGGTGAAAACGTTCAGGACTCGGAAGTAGGTGGATTGAGGTTTGTTCTATCGAATCTGGATTTAGTTGGGGTACATACCGCCCGTCACCCAGGGTGTTAACTGTGGTAAGTCGTAACATGGTAATGTCGGGGGAACCGGACGTTAGTTGGTGCCTCTTTGCATCGGGAGGGGGGTGCCTTATGTATGTGTACACGCCTTTGTACTCTGAGATGGTTGGCTATGTTTCTTTTTTGTCTGCTTTTATTCCTATCTGGGTTTTTTTGGTGTTGGGTTGACAGTTGTGCAGGAGTTGTGGGACTGCGGCCCTTCGTAAAGAGAGGGATTTGTTGGAGTTTTTTTGAACGGTTATTCCGAGAACTTGTGTGGGGTTTCTCTGTTTTTTAAACCTCGGTTGTTTGGGGAACGATCTGGTGTTGAAGACGCGAGGTTTGATTAAGGTGATTGGTCGACAATGGTATTGAAGTTATGACCTGAAAGACGGTCACGGTTTGTACGATTCCGTGATGAGAGATTTTATTGATGGGGTTGACAAGCCTTTGCGCGTTTGTGCGGATACTCCGTACAAACTCTCTGTTACTTCAAGAGATGTTATCCACTCTTTTGTTCTTCCCGTTGTTAACCTGAAGGTGGATGCAATACCTGGGCGGTTGAATAAAGTTTTTTTCTGTATGAACCACGTGGGTGTTTTTGTTGGTTACTGTAGTGAGTTGTGTGGTGCGGGGCACGCCTACATGCCTATTGTAGTGGAGGTTATCGAGAAGGCCTTTGTTAAGGGTTAAGGGGTGAGGGCAGTGTTCTTAAGGCTTTACTTTTCAAGTTTAGTGGGGTTTTCGTTTGTCAAACACCCGGTGGCCTACTGTATTCTGTTGTTGAGAGGTGCGCTAGGCGTTAGTGGGTATCTTTACACGGTGTTAGGGATGTCTTGGTATCTTGTGCTGTTTTGCCTAGTTTATGTGGGTGGCATTTATGTTTTGTTTATCTTCGTCTCCGTACATCTTTCTAATCCGATGGCTGTGAGTGGTGGGAGTGGCTTCGCGCTTTCAGGGGTTTTTTTGTCACTTCTGTTTCTTTTTAATGGAGTGGTTGAGTCTGGTGTAGATGGGTTTTGTGAGAGTAGTCATTATCTGTGTTCTTACTTTGAGGGGTTTTCCTACTGTCTTTTCTGTCTGATTCTGATGGTGGGTTTTATGGGTGTTAGTGTCGTTTCAGGGGAAAAGGATTCTTTCTTTCGCTAGTTTACCGGCTTGGTATAGGTTAAGTACGTGAGATTGTAAATCTTGAGGGGGGATTTCCAGTCGGAGGTTGTGTTAGGAGTGCCAGATGAGATGGGTTTGATTTAGGATTAGATGATGGCTGTTTCCGCCCTCTTGTGAGTAGGGATTGTCCGAGGGGGTTTTGAAGTCCTCCTTTTTATCTGATTGGTGATGCTCGCTTGACGATTGGTGGGAGGCATGGGTGCCAGATTGAATGGGTTGGTTTTAAGCATCAAATATGAGAGTTTCTCCTCGTGTGGATCTGACATCTCGATGAGGAGGATCACGTTTCGGCCGTGATTGTGAGTTGTAGCTTAGCTCTGTCAGGGATGCTGGGATTAGGGGTGGTGACTATTTTAGGTAGCTTCGTAGTTTGAGGGAGGAGCTTGAGGGGTTGAGAAGTTTTTTTGAAATTCTGGGGATACGGCTGAAAGGAAGGGACGGAGGTGCTAGTGCTGGACGAGGTTAGGCTGATCTGCCTTTTTATGCTTCTTTGTTGTGGGAGGATCGCCCTCCCCTTTTGTTGTCATTATTTCACAGGTTTAGTGGAGGAAAGGGTGCGGTTGTTTTCTTTAATGATCTGATTCCTAATGGTTATGGGTGTTTTGGTCCTTAGGGGAAGTTTGGTCTTGTCCCTAGTCATGTGGGAGTACCTCGGGCTGGTAAGGTTTCTGTTAATTCTGTTCTATTCTAACATGGACAGTGCTCGAGCCGCCCTGGTTACGTTGTTTGCATCTCGGTTCGGAGATGTTTCATTGTTTATGCTTATTCTCTGGTGCGGCGTGTGGTTGAGGGATTTGGGTGGTTTTTTTTTCTTTTTTTTCCTCCTTGTTATCTTGACTAAGAGTGCTGGGTATCCTTTTATCTCCTGGCTTCTGGAGGCCATGCGTGCGCCTACTCCTGTAAGATCTCTTGTACATTCTTCCACTCTTGTTGCTGCAGGGGTTTGGTTTGTTGTACGTTATCAAGAGTTTTTAGTGCCTGTTGTGCAGAGGTTTTTATTCCTTTTTTGTATCTTGACTGTTGTTGTGAGAGGGACGTGTGCTTCGTTCTTTAGAGATCTGAAGAAGGTGGTAGCTTTATCCACGTGTAATAATATCTCCTGGTGTGTAATCTTCTTTGTCTGTGGGGATTTGGGGCTTTGTTTGTTGCAGCTTTTAACTCATGGTGTGTGTAAGTGCTACTTGTTTGTGTCTGTTGGAGACCTTATGTCTCATTCAGGTGGTAGTCAGAGATCTGTGGGTATTTATTCTCCTCGGTATGTGGGGAGGTTTGGAGTTGTTTTGCAGAGTGTTTTGATCTTCTCCTTGTCCGGGTTGCCCTTCATGGGTGTTTTTTTTAGTAAGCATGGACTTTTTTCGAGGGTTTCCTATTGTTATGGGATAGGGTTTTTGTGTGCTTTCTGGGTGGCCTTTTTTTTGACCTATGTTTACTCGGTTCGCTTGAGGCTGCTTTTGTTGAAGTCTTCGAGGGGATTGGTGAGAGGATATTCTAGAAAATTTCTCCTGATAGGGGGGTTGTGCCTGTTGGGGACTTTTTTAAATTGGTTAGGTTTGGTCTTGTTTGATGAGAGTTTTGAATTAAAAGGTTGATGGAGGGGTGTAATGTTGCTGGTTCAGTTTTTGGGATGTTTGGGAGGCTGGTTTCTGTGGAGAGGTGCTGTTAGGTTTAGGGGTGATGTAGTTGTTTGGAGGTCGCTGCTGTGAGGCAGGGATTGTCTGGTGAGTGTGGTTTATGGATGGTTTTTAGGGTTGTCAGAAGCGTCGGTGCTTTCATTTTATCGGTGGGAGCTTTATGGTTTGTCCCTTGTTCGGGTAGGACGGGATGTGCTTGTTGGTGTCTTCACCTCTTTAAATTTTTTGGTGTTGGGGCTTATTTTTGTGATTCTCTTCGTTTCTCTGGTTTTTTCGTAAGGGGGTGTGTCGGTAGTATAGTGTTGTGAGTATGCTGTCTTTCCAAGTCAGGGGTCCAATGGGTTTGGCTGACACAATTAGGTTTTAGTGGACCGATTTAGCTTCGATTCCAATGGGTGTAGAGGTTTGGAGTTGGCGTTGCCTGTTGATTTTCTGTGTCAAGGGGGGTCTGAAACTATGCGCGAAAAGGGTGCAAAAAAAATTCGTAAGGGGGGGGCATTGCAAACTTTTTCCTTTTTAAAAATTTACAGCTTAATTCAGGTCTAGTCGAAGAGTGAAGTGGTTTTTATCTCCCCTTAATTTGACTGTCGATTAAAAATTTTCGTTACTTTTGTGTCAAAATTACATCATAGCTTTTTTCAGGGGAGTTCGGAGGTGAAAAGTTGGATTTTTGAAGGGTTTGTGTCAAGTTTGAAGGGACCGATTTAGCTTCGATTCCAATGGGTGTAGAGGTTTGGAGTTGGCGTTGCCTGTTGATTTTCTGTGTCAAGGGGGGTTTTAAACTATGCTGTCGAGGGTGTTCACCGTAGCTTTTTTCAGGGGAGTTCGGAGGTGAAAAGTTCGGTTTTTTCGATGAGCTGGTACGAAATGCTATTATGTTAATCATAAGTAGAGTTATAATTAGAGGTCTCTGTCAAGTTTGAAGGGACCGATTTAGCTTCGATTCCAATGGGTGTAGAGGTTTGGAGTTGGCGTTGCCTGTTGATTTTCTGTGTCAAGGGGGGTCTGAAACTATGCTGTCGAGGGTGTTCACCGTAGCTTTTTTCAGGGGAGTTCGGAGGTGAAAAGTTCGGTTTTTTCGATGAGCTGGTACGAAATGCTATTATGTTAATCATAAGTAGAGTTATAATTAGAGGTCTCTGTCAAGTTTGAAGGGACCGATTTAGCTTCGATTCCAATGGGTGTAGAGGTTTGGAGTTGGCGTTGCCTGTTGATTTTCTGTGTCAAGGGGGGTTTTAAACTATGCTGTCGAGGGTGTTCACCGTAGCTTTTTTCAGGGGAGTTCGGAGGTGAAAAGTTCGGTTTTTTCGATGAGCTGGTACGAAATGCTATTATGTTAATCATAAGTAGAGTTATAATTAGAGGTCTCTGTCAAGTTTGAAGGGACCGATTTAGCTTCGATTCCAATGGGTGTAGAGGTTTGGAGTTGGCGTTGCCTGTTGATTTTCTGTGTCAAGGGGGGTTTTAAACTATGCTGTCGAGGGTGTTCACCGTAGCTTTTTTCAGGGGAGTTCGGAGGTGAAAAGTTGGATTTTTGAAGGGTTTGTGTCAAGTTTGAAGGGACCGATTTAGCTTCGATTCCAATGGGTGTAGAGGTTTGGAGTTGGCGTTGCCTGTTGATTTTCTGTGTCAAGGGGGGTTTAACTATGCTGTCGAGGGTGTTCACCGTAGCTTTTTTCAGGGGAGTTCGGAGGTGAAAAGTTCGGTTTTTTCGATGAGCTGGTACGAAATGCTATTATGTTAATCATAAGTAGAGTTATAATTAGAGGTCTCTGTCAAGTTTGAAGGGACCGATTTGGCTTCGATTCCAATGGGTGTAGAGGTTTGGAGTTGGCGTTGCCTGTTGATTTTCTGTGTCAAGGGGGGTTTTAAACTATGCTGTCGAGGGTGTTCACCGTAGCTTTTTTCAGGGGAGTTCGGAGGTGAAAAGTTCGGTTTTTTCGATGAGCTGGTACGAAATGCTATTATGTTAATCATAAGTAGAGTTATAATTAGAGGTCTCTGTCAAGTTTGAAGGGACCGATTTAGCTTCGATTCCAATGGGTGTAGAGGTTTGGAGTTGGCGTTGCCTGTTGATTTTCTGTGTCAAGGGGGGTCTGAAACTATGCGCGAAAAGGGTGCAAAAAAAATTCGTAAGGGGGGGGCATTGCAAACTTTTTCCTTTTTAAAAATTTACAGCTTAATTCAGGTCTAGTTGAGGAGTAGGGTGGTTTTTTTTTTTCCTTAATTTGACTGTCGATTAAAAATTTTCGTTACTTTTGTGTCAAAATTACATCATAGCTTTTTTCAGGGGAGTTCGGAGGTGAAAAGTTGGATTTTTGAAGGGTTTGTGTCAAGTTTGAAGGGACCGATTTAGCTTCGATTCCAATGGGTGTAGAGGTTTGGAGTTGGCGTTGCCTGTTGATTTTCTGTGTCAAGGGGGGTCTGAAACTATGCGCGAAAAGGGTGCAAAAAAAATTCGTAAGGGGGGGGCATTGCAAACTTTTTCCTTTTTAAAAATTTACAGCTTAATTCAGGTCTAGTCGAAGAGTGAAGTGGTTTTTATCTCCCCTTAATTTGACTGTCGATTAAAAATTTTCGTTACTTTTGTGTCAAAATTACATCATAGCTTTTTTCAGGGGAGTTCGGAGGTGAAAAGTTGGATTTTTGAAGGGTTTGTGTCAAGTTTGAAGGGACCGATTTAGCTTCGATTCCAATGGGTGTAGAGGTTTGGAGTTGGCGTTGCCTGTTGATTTTCTGTGTCAAGGGGGGTTTTAAACTATGCTGTCGAGGGTGTTCACCGTAGCTTTTTTCAGGGGAGTTCGGAGGTGAAAAGTTCGGTTTTTTTCGATGAGCTGGTACGAAATGCTATTATGTTAATCATAAGTAGAGTTATAATTAGAGGTCTCTGTCAAGTTTGAAGGGACCGATTTAGCTTCGATTCCAATGGGTGTAGAGGTTTGGAGTTGGCGTTGCCTGTTGATTTTCTGTGTCAAGGGGGGTCTGAAACTATGCGCGAAAAGGGTGCAAAAAAAATTCGTAAGGGGGGGGCATTGCAAACTTTTTCCTTTTTAAAAATTTACAGCTTAATTCAGGTCTAGTCGAAGAGTGAAGTGGTTTTTATCTCCCCTTAATTTGACTGTCGATTAAAAATTTTCGTTACTTTTGTGTCAAAATTACATCATAGCTTTTTTCAGGGGAGTTCGGAGGTGAAAAGTTGGATTTTTGAAGGGTTTGTGTCAAGTTTGAAGGGACCGATTTAGCTTCGATTCCAATGGGTGTAGAGGTTTGGAGTTGGCGTTGCCTGTTGATTTTCTGTGTCAAGGGGGGTTTTAAACTATGCTGTCGAGGGTGTTCACCGTAGCTTTTTTCAGGGGAGTTCGGAGGTGAAAAGTTCGGTTTTTTTCGATGAGCTGGTACGAAATGCTATTATGTTAATCATAAGTAGAGTTATAATTAGAGGTCTCTGTCAAGTTTGAAGGGACCGATTTAGCTTCGATTCCAATGGGTGTAGAGGTTTGGAGTTGGCGTTGCCTGTTGATTTTCTGTGTCAAGGGGGGTTTTAAACTATGCTGTCGAGGGTGTTCACCGTAGCTTTTTTCAGGGGAGTTCGGAGGTGAAAAGTTCGGTTTTTTCGATGAGCTGGTACGAAATGCTATTATGTTAATCATAAGTAGAGTTATAATTAGAGGTCTCTGTCAAGTTTGAAGGGACCGATTTAGCTTCGATTCCAATGGGTGTAGAGGTTTGGAGTTGGCGTTGCCTGTTGATTTTCTGTGTCAAGGGGGGTCTGAAACTATGCGCGAAAAGGGTGCAAAAAAAATTCGTAAGGGGGGGGCATTGCAAACTTTTTCCTTTTTAAAAATTTACAGCTTAATTCAGGTCTAGTTGAGGAGTAGGGTGGTTTTTTTTTTTCCTTAATTTGACTGTCGATTAAAAATTTTCGTTACTTTTGTGTCAAAATTACATCATAGCTTTTTTCAGGGGAGTTCGGAGGTGAAAAGTTGGATTTTTGAAGGGTTTGTGTCAAGTTTGAAGGGACCGATTTAGCTTCGATTCCAATGGGTGTAGAGGTTTGGAGTTGGCGTTGCCTGTTGATTTTCTGTGTCAAGGGGGGTCTGAAACTATGCGCGAAAAGGGTGCAAAAAAAATTCGTAAGGGGGGGGCATTGCAAACTTTTTCCTTTTTAAAAATTTACAGCTTAATTCAGGTCTAGTCGAAGAGTGAAGTGGTTTTTATCTCCCCTTAATTTGACTGTCGATTAAAAATTTTCGTTACTTTTGTGTCAAAATTACATCATAGCTTTTTTCAGGGGAGTTCGGAGGTGAAAAGTTGGATTTTTGAAGGGTTTGTGTCAAGTTTGAAGGGACCGATTTAGCTTCGATTCCAATGGGTGTAGAGGTTTGGAGTTGGCGTTGCCTGTTGATTTTCTGTGTCAAGGGGGGTTTTAAACTATGCTGTCGAGGGTGTTCACCGTAGCTTTTTTCAGGGGAGTTCGGAGGTGAAAAGTTCGGTTTTTTCGATGAGCTGGTACGAAATGCTATTATGTTAATCATAAGTAGAGTTATAATTAGAGGTCTCTGTCAAGTTTGAAGGGACCGATTTAGCTTCGATTCCAATGGGTGTAGAGGTTTGGAGTTGGCGTTGCCTGTTGATTTTCTGTGTCAAGGGGGGTCTGAAACTATGCGCGAAAAGGGTGCAAAAAAAATTCGTAAGGGGGGGGCATTGCAAACTTTTTCCTTTTTAAAAATTTACAGCTTAATTCAGGTCTAGTCGAAGAGTGAAGTGGTTTTTATCTCCCCTTAATTTGACTGTCGATTAAAAATTTTCGTTACTTTTGTGTCAAAATTACATCATAGCTTTTTTCAGGGGAGTTCGGAGGTGAAAAGTTGGATTTTTGAAGGGTTTGTGTCAAGTTTGAAGGGACCGATTTAGCTTCGATTCCAATGGGTGTAGAGGTTTGGAGTTGGCGTTGCCTGTTGATTTTCTGTGTCAAGGGGGGTTTTAAACTATGCTGTCGAGGGTGTTCACCGTAGCTTTTTTCAGGGGAGTTCGGAGGTGAAAAGTTCGGTTTTTTTCGATGAGCTGGTACGAAATGCTATTATGTTAATCATAAGTAGAGTTATAATTAGAGGTCTCTGTCAAGTTTGAAGGGACCGATTTAGCTTCGATTCCAATGGGTGTAGAGGTTTGGAGTTGGCGTTGCCTGTTGATTTTCTGTGTCAAGGGGGGTTTTAAACTATGCTGTCGAGGGTGTTCACCGTAGCTTTTTTCAGGGGAGTTCGGAGGTGAAAAGTTCGGTTTTTTCGATGAGCTGGTACGAAATGCTATTATGTTAATCATAAGTAGAGTTATAATTAGAGGTCTCTGTCAGTTTGAAGGGACCGATTTAGCTTCGATTCCAATGGGTGTAGAGGTTTGGAGTTGGCGTTGCCTGTTGATTTTCTGTGTCAAGGGGGGTTTTAAACTATGCTGTCGAGGGTGTTCACCGTAGCTTTTTTCAGGGGAGTTCGGAGGTGAAAAGTTCGGTTTTTTCGATGAGCTGGTACGAAATGCTATTATGTTAATCATAAGTAGAGTTATAATTAGAGGTCTCTGTCAAGTTTGAAGGGACCGATTTAGCTTCGATTCCAATGGGTGTAGAGGTTTGGAGTTGGCGTTGCCTGTTGATTTTCTGTGTCAAGGGGGGTCTGAAACTATGCGCGAAAAGGGTGCAAAAAAAATTCGTAAGGGGGGGGCATTGCAAACTTTTTCCTTTTTAAAAATTTACAGCTTAATTCAGGGCTAGTTGAGGAGTAGGGTGGTTTTTTTTTTTCCTTAATTTGACTGTCGATTAAAAATTTTCGTTACTTTTGTGTCAAAATTACATCATAGCTTTTTTCAGGGGAGTTCGGAGGTGAAAAGTTGGATTTTTGAAGGGTTTGTGTCAAGTTTGAAGGGACCGATTTAGCTTCGATTCCAATGGGTGTGTGTGTGTTGTCGGTTTGGTGTAGTGTTTGCACGCTGATTTTTCGTGTCAGAGGGGGTTTTGTGACTGTCCGATTTTTTGATGGCAAAAGGGGGCCTAGACTAAAAAAAGATATCATCGCTCAAAAGAGGGTAATTGGAAATGACTGTGTTGTCGTAAAGGATTGGGATTAACTGTAGTCCGAGCAGTGTTGGTTGTGCGAGGAAGAGATGAGGGGGCTTCAATAATAATATGAGGAGGTACCTACAATGAAAGTGGTTAAGAAGGTCCGTTGTGAAGGATTGGGATTAACTGTAGTCCGAGCAGTGTTGGTTGTGCGAGGAAGAGATGAGGGGGCTTCAATAATAATATGAGGAGGTACCTACAATGAAAGTGGTTAAGAAGGTCCGTTGTGAAGGATTGGGATTAACTGTAGTCCGAGCAGTGTTGGTTGTGCGAGGAAGAGATGAGGGGATCTTTGGTTAATAATACAGGAAGTCATCTGTAATGGGGGGAAAGGGGGGCCTGACCAAAAAAAGATATCATCGCTAAAAGAGAATAATTGGAAATGACTGTGTTGTCGTAAAGGATTGGGATTAACTGTAGTCCGAGCAGTGTTGGTTGTGCGAGGAAGAGATGAGGGGGGCTTAATAATAATATGAGGAGGCCCCTACAATGAAAGTGGTTAAGAAGGTCCATTGTAAAGGATTAGGATTAACTGTAGTCCGAGCAGTGTTGGTTGTGCGAGGAAGAGATGAGGGGGGCTTAATAATAATATGAGGAGGCCCCTACAATGAAAGTGGTTAAGAAGGTCCATTGTAAAGGATTAGGATTAACTGTAGTCCGAGCAGTGTTGGTTGTGCGAGGAAGAGATGAGGGGATCTTTGGTTAATAATACAGGAAGTCATCTGTAATGGGGGGAAAGGGGGGCCTGACCAAAAAAAGATATCATCGCTAAAAGAGAATAATTGGAAATGACTGTGTTGTCGTAAAGGATTGGGATTAACTGTAGTCCGAGCAGTGTTGGTTGTGCGAGGAAGAGATGAGGGGGGCTTAATAATAATATGAGGAGGCCCCTACAATGAAAGTGGTTAAGAAGGTCCATTGTAAAGGATTAGGATTAACTGTAGTCCGAGCAGTGTTGGTTGTGCGAGGAAGAGATGAGGGGGGCTTAATAATAATATGAGGAGGCCCCTACAATGAAAGTGGTTAAGAAGGTCCATTGTAAAGGATTAGGATTAACTGTAGTCCGAGCAGTGTTGGTTGTGCGAGGAAGAGATGAGGGGGGCTTAATAATAATATAGGGG